CACCAGCACCAGCACCACCACCAGCACCAGCACCACCACCACCACCACCACCACCACCACCACCACCACCACCACCACCACCACCACCACCACCCATAAATACCATCTTGTTTTGTTGGTTTTGTGGACGTGTTGACAAGATGGGGATCAACACCCATCAGCATCCTGCGGATCCGAGAAAGGTTTCTTCCGAGCAGCTGGAGCTTGCTGCTCCGTATCGGCAGGGCCAGCACCTCTGCTGAATATCCCAAAGCCTGCACAAAGCCCTGTAAGACCCTTTTGACAACCTATTCTAATTAGACAGCTCAAGCACAAAACCCGACATGCTCGACTTCGCCTTAATGCTCGACAGTAAAGATATCGAATTTAAGGTCCAGCCGCTTGCTAAGCTACGCCAGTAAGGTTTGGACATTGAGTAGCTTAGTCGAGTTAGAGGGGGTCAACCCGTGGGGTTGCCAATTTCCTCCGCATGGGTCTCACAGCTTTTACAACATTCGTTGATCGACTCGCTGTACTTAGTTCTGGATCGAACAACACACAAGACCACACAGGCTCAGAATGGAGTTTGTCTCGATCGAAGTTCCTCGTTGCCCCAGGCACAGTTCAGACTCAGAGTCGAGCGGCCATTTCGAGTTCTGCTTTCTTGTATTTCGGGTTTGGCCTACGTCTGCGGAATGTTCACTGCAGGAGGTCTTTTGCTTGCACTTCACGCCTTGCGGCTTTACTCGCTGTTCCAGGAATTCATTAAACACAAACAATTATCGAAACTGAAGCTTTCCTTCCAGCATTCAGCGTTGGTTTTCATTCACCATAGCAGACTAGTCGCAGCCAGAAAAGTGGCAAAAAATCTTCGGTTCGTGGTGTCAAGCAGAGTGGGATTTGTGATAGGCACCCGTCAGAACACATCCCAGGTGGCTGCAGCTCAAAAGCGACATCTCGTTCAGGCTTGGGCACTCGGAGAGGAATAGTTTATCTTTCCATCATCACAGGCACAGGCAGGCGGGCAGGCAGGCAGGAAATGGTCGCATGCAGGGCACATCTTCACTCTACGCTCTACACATTATATAAGAATGATGCGCCTCAGCGCCATTGAAGCTACCTTTCCACGAAGGCCAGAGAAAATCAACCGGATCAATTGCTAGCTGCTAGTATGGTCCTGCTCTTGACCATGTTCCAGCGGATCCATTGCGAGCTTCTTGAGGTTTTTTGTACTGTGCGTGTGTGTGTGTGTGCGCTTGTGCAGCACATCCTAATTCATGAATCTGAAGGCGTGCCAGGGTTCAAAAGGTGGAGCCGTCAGTGAACGGAAGTTGGTTGGTCATGTTTGCAGGATATTTAGGGCTCAGATTTTCGAGTCATTCCAGTGCCTTTGGCAGTGAAAAGATCAAGAGCAGAACGGTTTAGATGATCACATCGCACGTCGAAAGCATAGCCGAACACATTCTCCAGGAGCAAGCGCGTCCTTCGCGCCGGACAGCCCTGTGTCGTCCGTGACGTCCGATGCGGCTGCCCGTCGCCTGTGGGCGGGTCTTGGGGTCCCACGATTCCAACGGTCCTCTACGGCTTAATGCTTGAGGTCTCTAATCGCATCGCAGGTTTGTCGATGAGTAGGAGATATTGCTTCTGAAAATTGCGTTTATCCATCGTGTGGGCTGGTTTCCGACTGGCACTTGATGCTGCAGCCGGAAGGCTGCAACATCTGCCCTTCGGCCGTACCGCCATGCGCATCCGAACTACCCTACCTACAGAAAGGGCAATCTTCAAACCAGAGTCAACTCCTAAACTCGTGCTCCCGCAAAGCGAGGAAAGGAAGGTTCGGTCTTAACCCTAGAGGTAGTCAGTGCCAAGACATGGGAATGATTTAGGCTTAGTTAACCAGCCTGGTTTAGGGTTTCGAGTCATCAGCACGAGATCAAAGTAAAAGAACAACGCAGCCATAGCAAGAAATAGTAGCTTTCCCCAGGTCATTTCTGAAAATGCGTAGGCTTTCTGTTCTTGGTCTTCCGTTTCACAATCGTCCTCTTCTTTACCATCCCCATCGTTGTCATCGTCTACAGCCATGAGTCATGACCATCTTTAAAATGTCTTGCATGTCGACGGTAATGGCAGTGGAAGGTCGGAGCAAGCGTAGCGACCAAGCGACTGCGCCCAAGCCACTGCCAGAAAAGTCTGGAAATCCCAAACAGTTATCAGCGCAGACCAGACCCAAACCCAACACAATGCGAGGAAGAGCCTAAGCCCTGAAAGAAGCATGCCCCCAGGCTCAGCCATGCTGGTGGTTCGCATGGCCCCAGTAGCAGCAGTCGATGCATTCGACCTCAGTGCTGCTTGGCTGCACTCCTAGAGGAGAGGTTCTTCGCAACCAGATTGTTAGGAGTCGCCGTTGACAGGCTGACTGCCGACAGCTTGAGCATGCAAACTCATCTTAGCCCTCCCAAATGTCTTAGCTAAAACCCCTCGGCCCGAAAGCCGAAAAGCCCTCTATACTACACATCCTAAGAAGCTCAAGTCCCGAGCTCGCAAAATGCAGGTGAGCCCTGAAGATGTCGAAGCTCTTGTGGGCCTGCCTGCCAGCTTCAGCCCCTCTTGCATATGGGGCCCGAGGGTTTTAGGGTTTCGGGGTTTATGTCGCTTTTGTGGGCTCCTTGCTCTGGTATGTTCTTGTTTTTACAGGCACCTTCGGGGAGCCAATTTCATGTAGAGCATGCGTCGTGCACGGAACTTCAGTTGACCCCGATGCACGCAGGCTAGACCGGACACCTTAGGCACATCTGGTCTTAGTCCTGAAGCTCGTGGCTATTGGAGGGTTTGTCAGCAAGAAGGTACGTGGATGTGTTCCAGGAGATGCTATGTGTCACCGTGTCACGTCGTTGGCATCAAGGCCGTGCGCCTGCTGAGGCAACTCCTGCGGCGCATTGCCGGAGGGCTTCGCTCCGGCGGACATTGTGTTCGCCACGGCCGACATCGCAGTTCAGGCCAGAGCCGGAGAAAGGGGGAGAGTTGGAGTCAAAAGCCTCGGCATATCCACATGCCACGTGTGAACACCGATTGTTTTGTTTTCTGGGTATTTCGATCAGAATTAGAACAGATATTGTCATCATCTGTCGCTTCTGCATCCGTTTGTTGCTGCATTTATTCATCCATGCGATTCCTGGTCGATTCTGTTGCCTGCACAGTTTTGCGATGAAGCAAGGTTTTCTTGTGCAGGGCATGCTGTGTTCATCCGCCCATGCCCCACGAAGCGGCAGAACATGTAATCCTCAGAACATACGTTGCCACGCGTCGGAGTGCTTCCTTCTATGAGTGGTATCCGAAAGAAGGTGAGTGCGAAAAGCGTAAATCACATCCACCCTCTCTCCTTCGGGTGCCTTATTAGGTATAATGTAGGGGCCTGAATAACTAGAATAGGGCTTTGGGGTATAATACCATAACTATACTAAGGAACCTCTTAAACGCTATTCTAATTATTAAGGCCCCTATATCTCCCGAATGTAACCCAAAACCTGACACAGGGCCCGTCTGGTCCGACTGTTGCCGTGGGCCTGGGCGACGTAGGCAGGGCTCGGAGACTTATAGGGCTTAGGGTTTTGGGAATTTGGCAACGGGGTCAATCGCCAGCACAGGAAGATTTATTGCGGCTGACTGCGTAACATGTACGTGACACGACTTTAGACCTTAGATGTTCGTGCGCAGATAATGTAGGAGCCTAAATAATTACCAATACTATTTTGCGGGGGTCCTTATGATAATTATACTATAATGGGCCCCAACACCCTGTTCTAATCATTAAGGCCTATATTATGCTCGAGTCCCGACTGCGAGGCATGGTTTTTGGAGAGCCCACGACGCCAGAAGCACGCAGCAAAGGCCATCAGCGCCATGTGCGACGCGAAAGAACATCTACGAAAAATACTAATAATACTAATGATATTAATAATACTAATAATAGTCGCGAATATACTAATAAAGCTAATAGTAGTGTTCATAACAATGATGCTGCCAATAATACTAATGTAGTAGTAATACTAAAAATGGAAATACTACTACGACGACGACTACTACTAATACTAATGACATCAATAATAACAACACAAGTAAAATAACAATACCAATAATACTCTAATGATTGCAATAATAGCTTCAATGATAATAACAACAATAATTAATAGTAATAAAGGTAATAATAATAATACCAATAATAATGATAACAATAATAATGCTTCTGCATTCCAACCTCACGGCACGCCAGCAGTTGGAGCCTCCCCGAGGTGTAATTCAGCTTGCGGGGGGGTCAGCTGCGAGGTGCCATCACTGCGGTTTCCTTGATCGCCAATATTGCTGTTCAGGTCGTGTTTAGTGCTACTGCAAGTACCCGACATGTTTTTTTTTTTTTTTTCCCGAAGCTTTCTTGCCAGGTGAAGGCCGGGTTATGGCTGCGTTTCGAATCGGTCAGTGACAGCAGAGGGTCGCCCCCATTGTCACAACCGAACCAGGGCTTGGGGTCACTTGCACACGCGCTTGCAGGATGGCACCGGCAAGGTATCCTCTCATCCGGACTTCTGCAGTTTGGGGGGGACCCCTGAGTGTTCTTACCGTGCTTTTCTTAGCCTTTTCTGTTAGTGCAGTTGCGATCATAATATAGCTCTCATATTATGGTGTCGTTATTGTTGTTATCATTATTGTTTGTATGTCTTTATTTATAGTTTCGTTTTCTTCTTCTTCTTCTTCGTATTACTGTTGTTGTGCCTTTCATCGGGCCGTCCTGTCTTGGGCCTATTGCCTGGCAAGCTTTTCGCCCCACTTCGCTGCCACGTGAAGTCTCCCACTTCCCTTTGCTTTTTCCTGAGACCCTAAACCCTAAACCCTAAACCCTAAACCCTAAACCCTAAACCCTTTTTCAGTCCAAACCGGGTTTGTTTCTAGACGGACAGCCTGGATCCCTAAAGGGCCCTCCAGGCCACTAATGTAGGTTCCTAAATATTTCCCAATACTATTTTGGGGGTTCCTTATTATAGTTATAGTTTAATGGGCCCCAAAACCCTATTCTAATTATTAAAAACTCCTACACTGGGCAAGAAAGTCCCAGTGAGTGCAGGCGAGGTGTTGGTTCGCTTCGAGGCCCGTCAGGACCGGCTTTGTCCGGGCGGAGGGAGAAGGAACCTTGGGAACCAAACGACCCTTATAAGTAGGGGCCCTATAAACCCTTATACTGTGAATCCTTATATGGTGTATGAAACTGAAGCCCCTTTATTTAGGGTTCATTTCGTCCTTAAGGAAGGGGTCGGCTGACATTGCAAGCCTCACTACAAGGGATTGTTCGTGCCGCTCCTGAGCCCAGGCGGCTCCAAGTAATTCAGCTTGACCGTTGCCATGGTTTTAGGGTCGAGAGGCTTCGTGCTCGGGGTATACAAAGGGCTGTCGTCACATGTTCCTGCCCCTCTGTCCTACCGGCCCACCGCATCAAGCAGCGACCCAAAGAACTGGGCAAAACTCGGAGCCCAAAACCTGGATCCTGAGCTGCAGGATCAAGGCAACCCGGTGTTTCTCAGTGCATCCTGTCAGCAAGCGAGAGTCACGCGATGAATGGCCGGGGAGCTACGGATAGTGCGTCAACTAGGTTCTTCTGTGTCGTGCCAGACTCTGCGCAGGGAGTAGTGTGGGACTTGAAAGTTGCTCATTAAAACAATATTTCGGGGCCCGGGCATAAAAGAGTATAGTAGTAATATTGAGGAGCCGTCAGAAATATTTGATGTAGTAGTACTTATTCTATGTGTGCCCCTAAGTCGAGTAGCAACAAACGTAACTACTGCATGGCATTTCCCACAAGTTTTGGCGCAGATCGGGGCTGACGCAAGAAAAAACGCTAGCTGCCCTTGTCCTCCTGCAAAAGTGAAGCATTTGGCAAATCAAAGCCTGCACATGCAGTATTTACTGCAACTGACTACGTGGGCTGTTTATTTAAACCATATTAGCAGTATCTCACGTCTAATAGATTCCGTCAAAAAGAGTCTTCAAGTATGCGTAAGATGAGTCCCTTTATGCATATATATATATATATACATAATTATATATATACATACATACAGAGTATTGTATTATACCATAATAATATGGGCAGGTACGCTCCAGAATGATCTTGCCAGCGGCATTTACAGTAGTTCATGTTCCGCACATTTCAGGTGTTGGCCAAGTCGCTCTCCCGCAGCCCACTTCTTAGCTGCGGGAAACGTGCCGAGGCGATCGGGGTTTCGGTCAGAGATTTCGATAAGGCCAACACACACACAGAGAGACACACAACATGTCAGACACACGCGCGCACACACACACACACACACACGCACACATAGAGACACACAACATGTGAGACACACAGGCGCACACATGCACAGACACACAACGCGTTTAGATACACACACACACACACAAACACAACACGTCAGACACATAGACACAGAGACACAGAGACACAGAGACACAGAGACACAGAGACACAGAGACACAGAGACACAGCGACAAAGAGACACAGAGACACAGAGACACAGAGACACAGAGACACAGAGACACAGAGACACAGAGACACACAGACACACAGACACACAGACACAAAGACACACAGAGACACAGAGACACAGAGACACAGAGACACAGAGACACAGAGACACAGAGACACAGAGACACAGAGACACAGAGACACAGAGACACAGAGACACGCAGGCACGCAGACACGCAGACACACACTCACTCACTCACTCACTCACTCACTCACTCACTCGCTCACTCACTCACACACACACACACACTGACCCACTCACTCACACACTCACACACTCAATCACTCACTTACTTACTCACTCACTCACTCACTCACGCACGCACGCACTCACTCACTCACTCACTCACTCACTCACTCACTCACTCACTCACTCACTCACTCACTCACTCACTCACTCACTCACTCACTCACTCACTCACTCACTCACTCACTCACTCACTC